CGCACCGCACCGCACCGCGCCACACCGCACCGGTCGGTCGGTCGGTCGGTCGGTCGGCGGCGATCGGCTGCCGGCGATCGGTCGGATACAAGTCGAGTCGGGTCGTAATCACTGGCGTAGTTCACACGCGCACAGCGTCGTCGTAGTCGCCGCTCACTTCACGCTCGTCGCTCCAGCCGCACCGTCGTCGTCGTCGTCGTCGTCGTCGTCGTCGTTGTTGTTGTCGTTGTTGTCGTTGTTGTCGCCGCCGCTGCCGCCACCCGCTGTCGCTTCTCCCCGGCAATTCTCGCGATAATGAAAACTCCGGGCGGCGCCATCTTGTATACAGACACTTGTTTCATTACCGGCGACAAGACAGCGACATAAGTCTCCGACACTGCACGTGGTATAATAGCTGTGAATCTGACCGGGTGCGTTGCCACGTTTTTGGAAATCGCATTGTCTCGGTTAACAAACGGAAAATCGAAGGGAGCGTCACAGGCACGTGACATTACCAATTCGCGCGTCTATACGCGGACGACTATTGTCGTATCCACGTGGTGCACGGGAACATCGATTATTGGCGGTTGCTACTCACTCGACAGATCATTGGTCGATCCGTGACCACTCATTGGTCGATTTTTAGTTATCAGTGGAATTTGAATAATTTGCTCTCAATTTAGCGTGAATTAGTGATCGTGTTCAAGAAATGCAACGGTTACACAACGGTTGAATAATTTGTCAAGGTAATTGGTCTAAATTCAGGGATCTAACAGTAAAGACCAATCATCACTAACCGCTCACTGATCACTTTGTTCCGCTGAACGTACCCAGTGTGTTCATTTTATCGCGTCTCGCGATGATTATTGTCTGTGGGTTACGTTTCCATCAAATCGCGAATTGAAGGAATATTATATTCTTTAAATTGTGTACGTATTTGTGAGAAAAGATATTTTGCTTAATCGATGAGACATGCACTTTGTGTATAATTTAAACTGTTAGATTTTTTTTTTTAAATTAATTTGAGATCAATTTTTTTCTTTAAAATATTAAGATTTTAAAGAACAAGATAATAGATTACTTGATAGACAAAATCTTAGGCGTTGAGTAATTATTCTTTTCGAATTTATATTTATAAATTCATTGTTTAAATTGCAAATTATGAGCCGTTATTTTATCAAAATCGTTTTTAAACTGTTATGTAAAGCGGATGTATTTCGTCCTTAGATAATTTTTGTACTGTATAATCACACATTTCTGCCTTTGTTTTCCAATTCCAATTTAATTTTACTAATTTTCAATTTTATATTCTTCAAGATACATTGCGTTTTACCATGGCCTGTGTTGGCCCAAAAGAAGCCAAAGCCATTACAAGGAGTAGGAGTAATAGTAGTAATTATTTCATCAAAATTTATATCAAGATTTCATTTATTGCAATCTTATAAATATTTCAATGAGAACCAAATCGAATCATATTAAAATTGCTTAAACTTCAAACGGTAGACATTTTTATTATTTTGCACAATAAATGTTCCATTTAATGTGTTTAATATACGCAAACCAGAGAAAGTCAAATGTCAGATCGTTACTATAAAAAATATATTCTATCCTGAGAAAAATGCAATTTATTTTAGAAATGTGAAAAGGAAAAAGAAATGAATGAATAATCAACAAAGATATTACATTATAATTTTATTATGATTTATAGTTCTAAGATATCATTCATACATAACAACTCAAAATAATTACCATTCTTATTAACTGACTATTTTTTCAAGTTGTTGTATTATGACCCATAGATTACCAGAATCTAGTTATTTTAAGTATCAATGATACTCTTATAGAAAGAAAGGACGCATTGATCGGGTCATAACCTCGTTTGGATCAGAAAATACAAAATGTTCCAGAAATAATGGATCTCTATATTGATTTGAGTCATCCAGGAAGAATATTGGTTCTCCATAATATGTTCCAACTTCCCATCTTTCGACATTCTTCATCAATTCTGCCTCTACATCACGATTACGTCTCATTTGTTTCAGGACACTGCATAAAGAAAGCAAAAGAAATGAAACCAACTATAAGTTTCATAAAATTTTTGAATCGTTTAACTAAGCATCTAGTTCTAATATGATTAAAATTAAAAATACGCAATATTCTTACGCTCTATCTCGTTCTGCTATCAACAATGGGAATATAGCGAGTTTAGCGCTTCTCATTTCGATTTGTTGTCGCTTAACGTTCTTGTAACTTAGATAATAAGTATAGAGTCCGCCGAAAGTGCTGAATAGAAGAAACCCAATTACACTCTTCGCTACAAAGTAATATAAAAAATATTATATAACTTCGTAAATTGCTCCTTAACCTTTTCAACCAATCAATAAAGTATGTCACAGTGAAACTTACTGCCTAAAATACTGCGTAATTTTATTCTTTCCGTCTGGATAGGACCGTAACCTCCTTTCGGTGGAAGGTCCTGCATCCTTTTACTATCCGCCGTCGTGTTCATCTTGTCAACTTCTTTTCGGCTTTTTCTTTTTGACGGGCTTTTATTTCAGACGATATTCTCTCGACATTCCCATTAAAACATCATTCGGCTCCGACTGTCATGCATGGAAACATTCGCTCACAATTCGTAATCCTGCCCTCTACATATGCAATCTTAAGATACAAATAACAGTTGGTGTTACAGGGCTATTTAAAATACGATAGACAATTAGAAAAATATTTATTAAATATTGGAAGAAAATCCTGATGAATAAGTCAGGCGTAAAATTAAAAACGATTTTAAAGTTTTCATATGATTTTCACATATGATTTTATTCTTTCATTCTCGAAGTAAAAGAATAATTGCACAAGTTGTACATACTTTGCATGAATGACAGCTTTGTATCGGAAGTTTCGCAAAACGATCCAAAACCGATGATATGAAAAAAGAAGTTAATAGCAAGTAACTTAAGGCTCTCTTTTAATTGTCTGTGATATTTGGACAAATCTCTGGATGAATCAGAAATTTATCATAAATGGAACGTAAGAACGTAAAGATTGTTAATTTCCAGTCAAAATCAATTTTCATAAATACATGATTATCTAGTTAGAAATATGTGCAAAAAAGGATAATTGTTAATCACTCTCAGTTTATCGTTTTACATTAAGCTTTTAAGTGTATATTTAGAAGTCGGTTTAACGTATTTGATATATCGATGTTTCGAGTCGAAGATACGCGCATGAAAACTGGGCTTATAATCAAAATGTCTGAAACGTTTTTCGAAAGAAAAACGTTGTTCAAATGTATATTGTATTTTATCTTGGTCTAGTTAAATCTTCGGCCTTTCTTTTTCTCTGAAATCAAAGTTATTTTTATTTACTTTTTTTTATTTAAGAAATTTACAAAAAAGTTGGGCTACGTTTGGTAACATCATCCAAATTTCGTGTATCATTTTATCCTTGTTTAACATTCAAGGATAAAATGACGAGCGACATGGAGTGACACTCGAGTGGTATTTCCGAACGTAGCCTTGGATCGGCGCAAACGGGCACTTCTGACTTCTTCTGCGCCGGAAGTAACGTCGACGTCACATCAAGTGTGGCGGCTTCTCTGGCCTTTTCCTTCATCGTGGAACGTGGTTCCAGTTCCGGATTGAACGCGAATAGCTCCATCTGTGAGTCACGGCACACAGTGGAATGCTTACGGTTGATTGTATACTGAGAAAATTCGTAAGAGATGGTGCTGAACGGAAAATATTGAGGACCTGCTGAATAGGTATGTGAATTATAAGCGCAATAGAGCATTTTCGATTCGCGCGGGCCACGGATAACTTGGGACGAGCCGGCTACGGAGCCCGGTGTACTCGCCGTGGACGACGCGTACGGCGGCTGGCGTTTCGCTGTGGGCCATCAGAAAATGTGGTTCACGCCTAACGTCACCGTCGTCCCCGTGTTTTATAATTCGTCCCATTTCTAGCATACCTCCGATCTTATCCGCCTCCTCTCTTTCCGCTTATAAGAAGCGTTCCAAACGCGCATTCTTCTGAAGTAAAATACGTCACGCAAGATATCTTTTTTTTTTTCACGATTCTTCCGATAAGAAGCGATTGCTGCGTGAAGCATCGTGAAGTATGTTGAATTGAAATACATTACGAAGCGTATATATATATATATATATATATATATATATATATATATATATTCTACATAGAACAAACTGTAAAGATTAAGTAGAAAAATAATAAACAAAGTTTTATTGTATAGATTTACAATTTATATAAGATAATAAAATAGTAATAGTAGAATATTAATATTATAAAAATTGAATAATTTTGAATATTCTTCATTGAAATTCATTTTATAGTAATTATATAAGATCCCAGAAATAGAGTAGCCCAACAATTTAAATCCATTTAATTTTGCATTAATTTGTCATAATTCAAGGAATTTTATTATTATATATAATCCTTGTATTTTCAACTAGGTATTGATACTTTTATCAAATATTTGATAATGGAGTCAGGAGTAATTCAAGAGAAGTCACCTCCTGCACGTGGCTTAAAACAAGTAAAGGTGGATAATTGGGGATCGTTCTTTATGCAACGTCTTCAGACTCTTTACTCGGAGGAACAACTTCTTGATCTTAAAATTAAATTTCCTACCAGTGATATTATTGTACAGGTATAACTAACACAACGCTTATATTATTATTGCATAAAGTAATATTGAAAAACAATATTTCTAAATATGATATATTTTCAAAACTGTCAGTGATATTATCAATAGATCAATTTCTTCAGGCTCATCGGCTTGTAGTGACGACATGTACAGATTATTTTATACAACTTGAAGGAGAGCAGAAAGAAAAAGATGAAAACTTTAACGGTGTAGTCGTTATGCCTTCAGATATGCCTTATGAATGCGTTAAGTCTATTATAAGGTAAATATGTTGCAATATTCATTGTTGGAATATTCTTGTCTCTTATATTTAATTGTATATTTATATGTAGCTTCATGTACACTGGACAATTGGAATATTGGACGTCAGAACAACATGCTCTATATCGTACAGCTCAAAAAATGAATATGACAGTTTTAACAAAATTGCTTGACGCTCAATTCAACACGAGTAAAATGCAAGAGGAAGCCAAAATCCCCATGCGTCCGGTGGTAGCCGTCTCGAAACCTTCAACTCCAACTACAAAAGCAATTGCTGGCTCCACCAGTTTGGCATCAACTATATCTGGGCAGCCATTGCCAGGTAAAAAGTATGTATTCCATAATATATATAGTGTGCCAAACATAATCTTATAACAACAATATATTAATCGATTTCTATTTTTAAAGACTTCCTATATGGAAAAGAAAGCTGGATGAATCTCCACCTATGCCAGCCATGAATTATGAAGTACGAACATTCCACAGTACCTCTTCGATACATAAACCTCAAGAGACGACTCCTGGCCCATCCAGATTTGATCTTCCAGAAGCAGATGAGATTGCTCTGGGAGTATTTTCTTCATTTGATGACATTACATATAATACAAAGCCTATTGTTCAAGCATCTGATACATACAAGAAAGGAAATGCCTCTCTTAAACGTTCTCCTGACAGAGATAGCAAAAATGATACAACTGAAGATGAGGAAGAAGAGAATCCGGAGAGTGAGAAGAATTTGAGAGATGCAAATTCTGATGATGATTGGAATATATCGAAGAATTACCAGAGATCCCCAGATGGGCCATCTAAACGAGTGCGTTTTGATCTGGAAGAAAAAGAGAATGTGGAAAAACCTAAGACAAATGTTCATTCAACTACTACCGATGATTCTATCAACAATCACGCAAAGATTATTAGAGAAGTATTAAAAAAATATCCCCATCTAGTAAAAAACAATAAGAATATCCGCTTAAAGATCATGCAAAAGGAAACGAAATCTTCCGACAGTAATACTGCATGCAGAACAAAAGTATCTTATGTAGTTTTAAAATCCGACCATTTATTGGCCAATAGTGATGAAAATGATTCCAAATGTAATGGTAGTATTGATGGCGAAACAGGTCCCTGGAAATGTAACAAATGTGACTTGGATGAGGAATATACAAATTATTATATGTATAGAAGACACATGCAGGATGTGCATGAAGAGAAATTTGATCCAAGAGTTTGCGAGCACTGCGGTTATAAAGCGACTAAGCGCAATATTCTGATGTATCACCTTTATACGAAGCACAATGTACCGCCACCAAAGAGCATGTGCTTTCCAAAGTGCCAGGCCTGTTCATATGTCGCCTTGTCAGAAACTCTGTTAGTTCGTCACCAGATAAATCATAATCATCGGCCTGCTAGTCGAACTCACTCTCTACCTTCGGAGGATATTCAATGCAGTCAATGCAATCTGTCATTCAGGAGTATCACTGATCTCACGACTCATGAATTAAACAGTGGACATGGAAGTATGGGAGATGGCAAAGAGACAAAAGGTCATCGTTGTCCATATTGCGGTAAAGTATTTGTGCGTGTGACAAACTTGCAAGTACATCTGGATTGTGCGCATAAAGAATTACAAAGAGATACCGCCGAATCTCCTCAATCTGTACCACCACTAGAACCATCGTCCGAAGCTGAGGCTCTCAGCCATGTTGCAAGCGGCATAGCCGCTTCTCTCGCTGTCGGAGATACAGAAACTACTTCGGAAACGCAGGAGGAAGAAGGAGAGATGAAAACCGCAAATGATAATCAGTATATTGTGCCAGATGTGTTGGAAGATATGGCGCATATCAATTACAACGAGCACGAATTGGAGAGCCAACATATGATCATGTTGGTTAACAATGACGAAAATTATCAGCATGATGAGAACAATCATCATCAACAGCCACAGCAATTGGATATTGCCGATAATGAGCAGATTGTAATGCAAGGTACAGATGATGGCATGATCGTGTACATTCATGGCGCGGAAGAGACCGACCATCGATCCTATGAGACTTATCAGCCCGCTGAGATTACACAAGAGACAGAAGAAATAGTAGAGGAGGTTGTCGAAGAGGTCGAAGAAGTCGAAGAAGTCGAGGAAGTCGAGGAGGAAGTTATGGAAGAAGATGAGATACAGCAAATGCCTCAAGAAATGTTAGAGGATTGTGCTGATAATCAAGTGGAAGAAGTGATACAATATGTTGAAGAACAAACAGAAATAGTAGAATATGATGAAGAACAATGCAGTGAACAGAGCAATAGTATGGATGAGCACCAAGAATCCGTCATGATTATCGAGGAGGAGCATGTAGAAGGTGAAGAAGACATGGGAGACACAACTGATAAGCAGCATGAGAAAATGCAAACTTTTACCACTGAATGGGACGAAGATAGCGCGGGGCTTACAGAATCATGAATACTGTAACATTGTGGTTTTTTTTTTTATTTGCTTGTAATACGTTATTAACTTTCACCGTGGCGTTATAGTTTTATTTTAAAGTAATACTCTTTAATGGAAATTTATATTTTATATTTTACTTTTGTAAGGTATAGATAATGGACGCGATGATTAATGCAGCGAACGTAGCGCAGCCATACCGATTTTGCCACACGATATATTTAGCAGAAAAGCCCTGAAATTAATCAAATTATTACTTTAATAACAGAAAGAAAAGATATTATTGAAGATATATAAGCTTATGAAATATGAAGTCTATCATTGCACCAACACATTGATTGTTTTGCTGAAATTTTAACATAAGCTAATATTTAAATATTTTAGCAATACAAAAGCATAAATCACAATTATTCTTTTTGCAATAGCACTTTTTAAAATTTGAGATAAGAATCTATAATCTTTGAACTTGCAGTTTAATTTCTTTCTTTTAGGTATAGATATGTTCATATGTCGTATAAAATACATGTATAAAAATACATGTTAATTTTATTAATTAAAATTATAGATTTATTTCATGAGAATATATATTAGATATACCAAAGTATATTGGTGACCAATCTCGTAGTTTCTCTTAATATTATTCTGCAAAATAAAAGTATATCACATTTAAAAGGATTCTTGTGAACGCGAATGTTCCTTCCAAATTCCGCCTGTAATCTTTTATATCGCAATCTCGATAATAAACTATGATTTTTTTACAAGAGGTAAAGGCTATAATAAGAGTAAAAGTCTCAGGTTAGATACATGATGTTTCACATTTTGAAATGGCACGATTTTATGGAAAAAGATAAATAAATGCAATATATTATAAATCTATGTCGCATAAGTATGTACATCATTAGTATAGTTTGAAAACCTAGCTTTATATATGCTGTTTTAAATTTTATCCTAACCTAAGTTAAAGGTGTTCTAACCTAACTTAATTACGCGTCGCGATGGCACATTTGTAAAATAATTTCCGACGAAATATCGTAAGATTCCTTGTGAAAGAAAGACATTTGTAATCAAGTGAAGAGAGATTTTATCTTAATCTCTATAAAATAAAATAATTTTGTGAAAATATGAGTGGTCATATTGCCCCAAGTAAATCAACAGTTTATGTGTCGAATTTACCATTTTCTTTAACCAATAATGACATTCATCAGTTATTGGAAGATTATGGGAAAATTGTTAAGTGAGTTAGAAATAAAGCATTATATAATTTATCATATTATTAGATTTATATATATTGTATAGATATCATTATTTATTTTCAGGGTAACAGTATTGAAAGACAAGGTAACGCGACGTAGTCGCGGCGTCGCTTTTGTCTTATTTCTTAAAACGGAAGATGCTGTGTCTTGTGTAAAAGCTCTCAATAATACAGAGGTAAAGTTTGTTATTTCTTTTTCGTGTTTAAATGAGTGTGTTACTTTGCCTTGGTTCGAACTTTCTAACATTTAATGTAATCCAATATTTTTGTAATCACATAATTTCCAAAGTTTATTGGAAAAACAAATTTGTATGTCATATCTGACAAGCTTCTGAAGCATTTATACAATTTTTAGATGTTTGGTCGAACTTTAAAAAGTTCGATAGCTGTCGACAATGGTCGTAGCACTGAATTTATACGTCGTAGAGATTATCCTGATAAATCGCAGTGTTACGAGTGTGGACAGGAAGGACATTTGTCATATTGCTGTAGCAATAATACGTTAGGTCCCAGAAAACCTCCAGCGAAAAAAATTAGAATACGAAAGAAAAATGTGAAACAAGATCAGTGTAAATCAAGATATGTTGATAGTGATAGTGATGAAGCAACAAGAAATCCAAAAAATAACATTGACGACATCAATGACAATAATAATGATGATGATGATGATGATGATGATGATGATAATAATAATGATGATGATGATGATGATGTCGTTGAAGAAGAACCAGAAACGTTAAGCGCTGTTATCGCACTTGAGGTATAATTATAATTTCCTAATTTTAATTAAAAGAATGAAAAAGTCTTTAGCAAATAGAAAGCAAGAAACTATACTTTTTACTCATGTTTCTTTATATTTAGCAAAGACGTACTGAAATGGAATATGGAGAAACAACAGATGACAAAAAAGAAACTATAATCATACCAAGGAAACGTTACAAAAGGAATAATTATTTTAGTGATGAAGAAGATTTTAGTGAATAATGTATATGTAAAATCTGAAGGCTCTCATTACACACACACACACACACACGCGCACGCACGCACGCACGCACGCACGCACGCACGCACGCACGCACGCACGCGCGCCCACACGCACACGCACACACACACACACACACACACACAAACACAAACACAAAATTTGTAAAGGCTGTGATGTATCGTTGTTTTTCAAGTATGAATTTCAATTTACAAATAAAGAATACTCGATTTGTTTTTAATTAATTTAATTTTACCAGCATGGCAGGAGTATTAATCAAATATTTTTAACATATTTAAAGAAACATAAAAATTGTCTTTGTCATATACAAGCTTTGAGAAGTTAATATTTTCAATAAACAAAATCAATCTATCAAATACTATTACAATAGTATTTAATGTAATTATATATACAGAACATCCCAAGTTAACCAATTTTTGTCTATTTTAATAAATTTTAATAGAAGATGAAAAACAATGATAAATAATGAGATGAATAATGAGATAATAACAGAAAAAGAGATCATTGATTTCATGGTAAAAATTATATATTATCTTTATCTTCTCTCAGATAAAATCTATTAAAAAAATGTTTATTTCATGTTGTGAAAAATTAATTTATAATTTATAATAATAACGATTGTTCATTTTCAGCCATTAATCAATAATACTTTTATTAAGCAAAAATTCTTTGCTTCAAGAATTTACAATTAACAGAAATTGTAGTAATCATGAGACATGCTGTATATATTTCAATGGATTCTTGTACAATTTATTATATAAAGCTATTTTGTTTCATGTAATCCATCATAATTTAACATTAAAAAATATATTAAACAAAATAAAAAAATTTTAGGCGCGACGCATTATATAGCAACCTCTCATCTTCCAGCTGGATGAATACATAACTATCTAACATAACAATATAATCACGAAAAAATATACATTATATTCACATACTAATCCTATATTGAGGATATGGATGTATCACATTTAATTTATGATACTCTTTTTCAGTCCAACAAGAGTTTGCGTTTTAAAATACTTAAAGCAAGATTAATGCAGTCTATGATGCATACAATTAGACTATACAAGATTATGTAACAAAATTAAAATCTGTGTTTTACTCTCTATATCAGTCACATCCAGAATTTGAAATTAGTACTATAATCAAACGTTATCACATTATTGTAAGCACGCTTGAACTTTTTCAATCCATTCCTGTGCCGTGACTGCGTCGGCAGCACAAAAGTTGTATGTTCGCCTGTTTGTACGAAGCTGCAAAAAAAATTATTCCATCATACTTATGTGTATTATAATAAAAATTACATTTCATCAATATTATACAAAAATAGACTTGAAAAATTAAAGATATATTTAAAAGTTTGCATTTTCAACTTAATTCATCTAAGATTATTACTTTTGTAAAATATTGTATATCGTTTGCATATATTTTTTCATTAAATAAGATATGTACTTACATCAAAGAAGGATTTATCATCCGTTTTCTTTGGTGGTCCGGGCATTGGCGCAGCTGGAGTAACAGATACCACTTCGGCCAAATCTGCAATGATTTTGTACATATATTTTGTTCTATTTTAATTCTTTCTTTTGGTTCATTTATACGTACCTATGTATCCTTTACAGTGTGAATCTTCCACTGCATCATAATATCTCAGTTGATGTTTTATAGAATCCAATACGAACCATCTTTGTTTCCAGCCCTTTAATAGAGCTCCTCGTTTATACAGATAGCCTTCGTGCGTCCTATTTTCCGCTACATTACTCGAGAATTGTTCATAATATTGCTGGGAGGAAGTTTGTATAGTCGTCACACCTGCAAGAAAAAAGTTCATATTAATACAAAATTACAAAGATAATGACTAAGATAGAGATAATAATTAAAATGTGACATAAAGATTATGTGTGAGAAATGCTTAATCCATTCAGAAAAACAGTACATACTCGAGTTCACGCTTCCATTATCGCCACCACTTCTCGTAAGTGTGTGAGTCTGAAGGTTATCCGTCACAGCTTTATATTTAGTGCAATTTTTTGGCACAGCATCCGCGCATTTGTCATGGCATACATGACCACAATCGATGCATCTTAAACCAGCCTTCACGGGACCCCATAACACACCCGAACACGCATCACAGTGAGTTGGTGTCGCAGAATCCAATCGTTCGAATCTTTGGTAAATGTTTGCATTTATGATAATGTTCAATCAATTTGAACGAATTGTATAAATATTGATAATACCTATGCGGATGCGCGTATACAGAACCTTCCGTTCCGGTTGTATTTCCACCGGCAAGTTTACCGCGCAATAATAATTCTAAAGTAGAGCGCTTATGAATTAATCGACCATGGTATCGCACAAGTGCTGTGCTGAACGATGCATGTCGCTAGAAAAGAAAAAAAGTACAATTATAATTAATTATGTAATTTTACAACTCTTCAAAATTATGCCGATATATTCGAACAAAGTCTTAAGATATCTCTGAGAAATATATAAATGAGAATATATAAATGAGAAATATATAAATGCATTAAATATCTTAAATAATTTCTTTTAATAATTGCTAAGAGTTAACATAAAATAATATTTCAGTAGCAATGTATTGTTTATTATTACTTTTCAATAATATTAAATATATTTTCAATAATATTATTAATGGAATTAATAATTACGAACGAAAGATGGCATCCAAATATTTTCATGACACTTTGATTAACACTTTAAGACTTACGGCAAGCGAATCAGTGTTTGGCAATTCGAGTTTATCCCACAGTACTTTCCATTTTTGCGGTAGATGTCCTAATTCGGTCTCCAACTTATGAATTTCCTCTAAGAGATGCGAAAATTGATCGGGCACCATTGAACTGACTCCGTCGTATCTAAAAAATAGAGCACTGTAATTTCGCAATTTCTTTATGAAGATTGAATATGATATCGAAAGCAATAATCACCCCTGAGTGACCACTTTACGATTGCTCTTAACCACGCCATCCGCAGCCTCGGCCTCTTCCTCTTGCTGGGAATCCTGCTGCAGCACTTCGAGATCGTACGCTGGACCATGCGCCAGTTCTTCTTCCAGATAGAACTGCCAGATGTCCAGACTCGGCAAATGTGAGACTGGCCGCAGAACAGGATTCTCCGTGTTCGGTGTATACATAAAGTTATAAAACAATGGACATCTTGTATGTTGCTTCTCTATGTAATCAAATATACTTTGGCCGAGATTGCAACCAGTATTTGTTCCCGCTAGTCTACCACCAGGATAGATCGTATCATCATCGCTACCAGTGTCCACGCCCTTGTGATGACTCGTCAAGGAACCTCTTTTATCTTCAATGGCGGTGATACCACACTCTACTCGGTCAAACTCACAATCCAACAGAAATGTACGAAAGCGGCAGGACACCGAGTGATAAGCTAAAAACTTCAAGTAGTACTCGTTGAACTCGAAGGCCAAGGGAAATTGTTTTTGTATTTGATGCACTATGTCGAGAAATTGTAGGAACGTAGGTGTAAAATTGGTCGTTTGCGAATTCGCGGCGAGATTGCTCCTGTGACCAAATCTATGTCCGAATCCAAGCCACTCCTTCTCGATTAAAGTCCTGAAGCCATCAATTGTTCGGTAATGGGGATCAAGACACACTTGTGCTACAGAACAAACGGTCGTTGTAGTGTCCCAACCATCCTCCAGACAGACAGCAACCGACGATCCCTGCATGTCCATGAGATCTATAACTGCTCCCGCTAGTTGCATCAAGCTCTGCAATTGTTGCAACCATTCCGAGCTTTCGATGAGTCTGTAGAAACTTTGATCGGGCTCCACATTCGGCGAGCTAGGCACGCATGCTCGCATCAGCTTTTTAAATGCGGCTTTCGTATGCCTCACATCATAATATTCTACCGGAATAAAATCTGTCTTAGGGGTGGATTCTGCCTTGACGCCTTTCATATGTGCCTTTTCACCTAAGATGTAAAGAGCGGCGCGTTGAAAAGTGTGAACGCATTCTGTGCCGCTGTCAGAATCCGCGGAATGCCTGACGGTTCCGCGTTGGTGATGAACGGAAGTTAAAGAAGCTTGCGAATTGTGTCTTTTATCCTTCAAAGAACCCCATCGTCCGAAATTTTTGGGACCTTTGCCACCGGATGAACTGAGAGTGCCGAGGGGTTTGTTGAATGGATTACGGCGCGATTGTTCGGGGGTAGCGTTACGATCTTCCGCTGCCAATAATAATGAGTCTATACTTAGAGAGCTGTCGGACATGCCCCAGGCAGAACCCTGCCGCAGTACGGAGAGCGGAGTCGCAGCAACGAGCGCCATCATATATTTTTCCTGTTCCAAAGAAGAGGTGGTTTCCGAAGATGTGGTCTTCAGATTACTGCCGGAAGTTGGATGAGCCTTCAGCATACCCATTACACCTTTCCCATGGTAACCCGCACCTCTAATTAGTAATGCTTTTGTCCGCGGATGTCTCCAAGTGACAACCGGCATTCTACTGTGCCGATGAAGCCTACAGAATCGACGAATGCTTTCATCCGACACGGAAGTGGGTACAATCAGAAGCGCGGGATAACTTCGGCAAATCATGTAGGCACAGTTCACCGAGGTTAGTCGGAAAGGTTCATTGCGACGATTGTTATGCGGTCCGTTCGAATAGAGACCCAATCGATACCAGTCCCTGACGTAACTACGTTCAGATAAACGTTCGAGAGTTTTGGCATCAGTCGGTGGTTGCGTTACCACACCGGGTATCTCAAAGTCGTCTACACTGAGATCATCGTCGTGGCTAAGATCGTTGCTATCGGTCATCGGCAGGCTCATTCGGCCGGGCGACGTCATGTACTTATTATTACTATTGATGAGATTCATATTCGGCAGCACATACTTTTGCCGCTTGGAGGATTGCTTTGGCTTAAAACCAGCTTTTCGAGCAGTCTTTAACAACGTCTTTTTCGCGAAGCCCTTTAGAGTAGCGTTTTTCTCCTTGCCCTTGTGATGTGCCGTTTGTGTAACTAAGATCTGACCGTTAAACGCAAAGTGATGGAAGATGTGTGGCGGATATCTAGCTTTGTGTACCAATTTTCTTAGAGTATCGATATTTTCGGGAGTGACTTCCTCGTCAAAGGCCAATTTTATCAACTGAAACGTGCAGGAACGTAACTGTAGACCTTCTTGAAGGCACTGATCCAAGTGTGCCAAGTGTTGCACAGCGACACGCTTCTCCTTGGTCAAGGATGTCACAGGGAAAGCACGAACGACCAACTGCTCGCAGGCAAATGGATCGCACGGTATACCTTTGAATACTATCCTGTAATTCGTGAGGAAAATCGCACCTTCGGCTGGCAAGAGAGGCGGTATCTTGGGTAGTCCCGCGGAACTCTCCTCTCTGCCGTCTGGCAGCAAGTAAACGCGCAAGCCGTCCATTATCACCTCTTCGCCAGGTAACATGTTCGGTGTCAGGATCTTCGGCTTTTGTATCGGTGGCAGTCTTTTGCTTTCTCTATGGACCGCTTCGAGCGTCTCGATGTGCATGTGAACGACTCCCGGAACCATCTGATGTAAACAACGTACATGTTCAGCGCTAACGCCGCCCTCAGTGCATACCCGGTCGACGAATCGTGAAACCATTCGAATGACGGCGCTGCCGGTCTCACCAGGATCGGTCTCCTCAAATCCGGATTCGGCGTCGCCGCTGTCGCTTGCCACGCTATTTGTGATGCTGTTACTGGCACGTTCCTCGTCATAGATGTGATCCTGACGATGGGTCTTTGAGCCAATGTCTAACGGCACTAATAAATAAACCATTCTATTGGCATAATGAATAGCCTGGCTGTACATAGTACTCTCCTCACTATTCACAAGTTCTTTTTGCTTCTCAGAATCGATAGATGGCCAGATCCGCATCTGATCCGCAGCTATCTCCAACGCTGACGGTTCTTGAGCTTGATAGATAGAATATCGATCGCGATACGGAAACTCTTTACCGTCCCGAGGACTAATAGGACTTAGAATACCATCATTAATCAGCCTGGGTGGTGAATTGTCACCCGGAAGATACAGGCGTTTGATATCTTTCTGCACATCCAGATAAAACGCATCTTCCCAAAACTGTTGATTTTGCCATACCGGATGTTCTTGGATGCAGGTGTATGCAAATTGAATTACACCAGTACATAGTTTTCTACAGAACGCAGTGGCAAGCGGCAATAGCGCGGCAGCGACTCCGTGTTCGTCCATTGACGAGTCATCTTGCAGCGCGCAATTCATCAGACGTACTACTAGATCGAATTGTTGATGCTCCAGCATAGCCTTGTTTCCGACTACGTGCTGTGACAACTCCATGCAAAGCGCCAATCGAGCCGCTTTACTTTTCAAAGCTCGCAAGACGGCTGGGAACGTCTTACGAGCATCCGAGATTTTATTTTCGAATATACAATTGATACAATTGCGCAGTACTTCCAATCTACGAGCCGAGTTGCTAACCAAATGTCTAGTGTCATGAACAAACGAGATGTGTGGACCCATGGGTACGATGCGAGGTTGAATCGGTCGCAAGGATGACAATCTGACTTTGAGATTATTCTTCGCAAGACCCTCGTCGATGATCGCTTGAACTTGCTCCGGATTGATACGTGGCAAGAGAGGCTGATGAATCCGCGCAAAAGCGCCTTCGGGTGGTTTCAAGATCTTCTGCACATATGGTTGAGGATTCGGATTTTCGTTCAAGTATAACTGTTGCGCTAATTCCTGAATGTGCGTCAAGATAACTCTGTGATCCTGTGTTTCCTGCTTCAGCTGATCGCTCAAATTACTATACAATTCATCCCATACATCACAAGGCCTCCACGGTGGTCCTCTCTCCGCGATAAAAGATGTAAAAAACATGCAATCCAGAACTCTCGTGGTAAAATCGCAATCGGTTAAACCTCTCTCCCCCAGGAATGCGGCTTTGTGAAAAGTGATAACAGGTTTTGGGTGTATTCGTATCAATGTTAGACAGCTTCGGTATCCTTGCAACAATTGAGCAAAAGTTCTCATAAATACTGCTCTGAGTTCTTTGTCGAGCATAGGAGAATGTGGAGCTCTAGTAGCGAGCGGAGGAAACGCATAATCCGCGCATGCCAATTCTGGCTGCAATACCAGGGATAACGCATCCTGCGTCTGCGAAAGTAACGGTTCTGGTAATAAAGCAAGCGAAACACCATCCGGAACTGTTAACGAACCTCCATCCAGATCGGCGACTATTACATCCATCTGTAAACAGATAAAAATCATAATAAATAATATGTTTATATTATGTGTTTAAATAATGATTTCTAATGATAAAAAATTTGCCTTACAAGTTCTGCAACTTCGTGTTTTAACGAACTATGTACACCCATAATGAATGGTGTCGGAGTACTGAGTATTTCGACTAAAGCCGCTGGTAAAAGAGGAATGTAAACGTGCGAATATCTGAACGGATACATCAATGCTGTTAGAGCTCGACATCCTTCGGTTAGTCGAGAATAACTGGCAGAATGGAAAAGTATCTTATGTTCTGTCATGACGGCACAAAATAATACTAACACATTACGAATACCTAGAAATAACGTTATACATCATATAATAAATATGCTGAGAAATATTATAAAACATTATAAATTGTTGCAAATTATATGTTTCATCATTATTATGCTCATACCTAGTTGTTGAAATAATAAATTTACACTAGTATGAGTTATAGGAAGAGAAGGACTAATTGGTGGTTGAAGTGCCTGACGATCTCCTGCTCCGATACTGAATCGTACTTGTGGCCCACCAGCGGGAGGTACTTGAATACATCCTAATATGTTTCCGACTAATGTTTCTAATGGTATACCAAGATTTTCCACGTAGACCGTATATATAATACCAAGACAGTTCTATAAAAGTGATAAATTATGAATAATATTGATAATTGATTAGTATTAATTAATCACATATCTACATACTCTAAATGTTTCTATATAATCCAGTCTGGAAACCAGCACCAGACATTTGGGTGCATACATAATGCTGTGATGTGTAATGGCGGGTATTGCCCTGACCAATGGACGACTATCTCCATCTACAGGATCCTCTTCCTCGTCTACAGGTTTGCTTGGCACGATCGATATTGTTTCATTGAAGCACATACAAGCGCAATAATGTCGATTTGCATCAATATCTGTTAATATCGAAACAAAAAAACGTGGCTCTTGCCTTTCTGTTGATAAGGCCCATCCTTGTGGTTGACAAAACTATGAAACATAATACATATACAAATAAGATATATTATTATAACAAATCTATCTTTAAAAAGAAACAGTTACCCATTCTATTCCTTCGATGAAAGGTGTATCTGGCCAATCTTTCTCTGGGAATCGTTGTAATATAACCCCACTACTTACACCACCCCCTATAATCATAATGCATATCATATATAAACAGCTGCACATTTGCAGCAAAGCTGATAACATTACATCATGTAACTCGTTTTTTAAATAAACTAAACAAGTTTTAAAGCAAGAATTTATATGTTTATTTGTTTAGAATATTAAACTATATTATTTTTAATTGTATACTTTGCCTATTTATTATTTTTCTCTTCTTTCTAATGCTTCATATTCATATCTCACTTTTATCAATAAATGCAATTATTTATTTTTGAGATTCTATTTATTATATATATATATATATATATATATATAAACTATGAGTTAAATATGTATTTAAAGATGCATTCTTCGATAAAAGTGAAGTATGAACACAGATCACATTCATTACTTATCTTAATGTGTAAAAAATATAATGACCTAAAAGATATTGAATCTAATGATGAATGAAATTTCAAATTTTGATAATGACTCACTTTCTTTCTCGTGATCGTAGCCGACCACTACAAAGTAGTCGGCTAACCGAGACATCTCGGTATATTCGTGGGGCTGAGTGGGGGTGGTTGCGCTCAACATCCCACGTTGTGTTTATTACACGTGATTTCATGGACTGTGGCCTGCCTCGTCGCGCGACTTAGCTAATTTACTATCTTGTGTAACTATTGTTGAGGAATGCACGGTCACGCGTCAACGCGGATATCGATTTGAAAATGTCACAAACATAATTCCAGCGATTATTTATGTGAATTCTTTTCTTTTTTTTACGCCCATGAAACTTACATCATGTCGTGAAAATTATAGAAGTAACACGGAGATCTCGCGCATCCACGTTACAGAAAAAAAAGACAACGTATGGGCGAGGAAATTTTGCATATGCAAATATTCGGCGATTATCGCACGCGCCTCGAACGTATTTTAACCTGACATCGCGTCGCCACTGCCGCGTTTTGCAACGTCCTGCGGACTCGCCGAATAACGATGCCACACCCCGAAACTTCAATCCATAACCTGCCAAACTCAAACGCTACCTTGAGTATTTGTTAGATCCGCTCCGCGTACGGGCCGAAACATCCCACGATTACGCAAAGCGAAGATGAGAGCGTATCGTCACTACTAGGACATTCAAGTTGTTTTTTTCGCCGTCTGCCGGCATTAGGACCGGAGCATACACTTCTGCATAACACATAAGAAAGTTAACCAATCAGAATCATTCGTTTTTATTGGGCGGGGGGGGTAGAAATGGAGGACTATGATTGGTTCATTTTCTTATGCGTTATGCATTAGTGTTGGTCCACAATAAGTCCACAATTAGTGTTGGTCCATAATAAAGTATTTAATCTTTAAATCGTAAGAAATTGACCAATCATAATCGATTATTCTTTTCATATTCGATTATAATTGGTTAATCACACTAAATGTCGATCTACAATAGGTGATTTAAACTTTAAGAAGTAAGAAATTGACTGATATGATTGGTCAATTTCTTACGGCTTAAAGATTAAATACTTATTGTGGACCGACACTTATGTGTTATTAGAAGTGTGTGCTTCGGCTCTTACAATATAATCAGTATGGGCATTTCGCGACAGAATACGCAGATTTGTCCAGATTTGTTTGCTCGGGCCATATTGTTAAGTGCTTTCAATGAAATTAAACACGACGAAATGTACATAGACCGCAGAGTCAGCATAAAGTTCCTGTACTAAGGCCGGTATTCATAATTCGTTCTTATATTTAAACCCTCTTTCACCAATCTTCGGTTAAACTAACCGAAGACTGCCATCATGACTGTCAACAACTGAAAACTGTTTATTGTAGATAAGTGTTAAAATTTTTATTTAAACGCATGGTAACTATTTTAAATGTGATATTAGATAAGTTTTCTGAAAATGTTATAGTTAATTAAATGATGTTTATTTATGGCAAGTTTAATAAATAATAAAAAATATAATTATAATATTTTGTTTCCTTTCTGATTCACTCTATTTTTTAAGTATTATATCTTCTCATTTTACATCTTGACAATAATGTGTTATATAATGTAAGAATTAGACGACCGTAAGCGGTCATGAAAGAGATTCGGAATATAAACAGCTAACAGAGAGGAGCCGTCGTGGTCGTGCAGTCGACTAAGTGTCGGATTGGTAGATGAGGGATCCCGAGTTCAAATCCAGTCGATCTCCGTTAATTTTTTCCGAATCTAATAGATAACTTTCAATCTCAGAAGTGGGATTCAGCCCATGTTACTTCAGAAAGGATACAGCCTATGTCCCCTGACAGGGAGAATTCAATCGATTTTGTGTGTGTCGTTTGTGTGTTGTTCGAAATGAACCAAGTCAGGGAGTTAAATACTCCAATGTCATGTCGATCGTTCAAAAGTGAACGGAAAAAGTCGTGGAGTAAAAGTACTCCAATGTCGTGTCGATCGTTCAAAAAGTGGACGAAAAAGTCGGGGAGTAAAAGTACTCCAATGTCGATCGTTCATAAAAGTGAACGAATTCGGGAGCAGAAGCTCCAAGTTTCGGATAAAATTCCGGTAGATGAAGACTCGGTACATTCGGGACGAATGTAATATTAAAATGGTCGAGCTGTAAGAATTAGATGACCGTAAGCGGTCATGAAAGAGATTCGGAATATAAACAGCTAACAGAGAAGAGCCGTCGTGGTCGTACAGACTAAGTGTCGGATTGGTAGACGAGGGATCTCGAGTTCAAATCCAGTCGGTCTCCGTTAATTTTTTCCGAATCTAATAGATATCTTTCAATATATACTAACAATTTATCTTCGTAAAAAATGTTTGATGATGATAATGAATTATCTTCGTAAAAATTTGAATATTTATCTATAACAGAATACATAGTCATTAAAAATTAAAATCTTCTATTGCCAGATTTAAAACCCAAAAAACTGCGGCCATTTTATCAATTAATATGCATAGATTAAGAAACACTAGAGTTTTTACTATTTAACTATGGCAGCTGATGGTGAAAAGTTTCACGTTAAATATCTTATGCTTTCATCGAAATTAAAATTACGTGATCACAAAATGATGAAATCCATATGAGACTCGTCACTTCTCACTGATTCGTTCTAAGGAAAAACTTACGTAATCGATGCTCGGAGGCCGTAAAAAATCAATTAATCATGATCGAATTATAGAAGAATAATCGACTATGATTCATCAATTTTTACAATTACGGCATAAATTAACAGATTACGGCCTCCATAAACCAATTTTTATGTTTGTTCTACAATGCGTGTCGGTGTCGCAAGTCGTAAGCCATAAGAATTGACCAGTCACAGACGAATGTGGAGAGAATACTTGATTGTAATTGGCCCATTCTTACGGCCCACAACTCACGACACACGACTCATTGTAGAATAGGCCTTATTTTTTGGGTTAGTCCTTGTCTATAATAGGTGATTTAAATCTTAGGTCATAAGAAATTGATGAATCATATTCGATTATTCTTCTATTTTTCGACTATGATTCGTTTAGATTTTTCGTCTATTGTAGATCGGAACTTAGAACCTATCCATTTCTATCATAAAGCCACATGTACAATGCGATTAGATAATTTCTTTATGCGTATGGTTATGTTGCTATGCAAGTTTATCTGAATAGGCCCTTAGTCTTAGGATGCTATGGATATGCGCATATTTCGAGATTAAAAATATTGGAGATTAAAACTAGCAGAATATGAATACGACATAATATATAAGGCAGGAAAAACCAACGTGAACTAACGCTGACGTATTATCCAGAAACCCCATAGATTTTGAGGAAACCGAATGTAAAGTAATTAATAAAGTATTAAGTCCTAATAATCCTAAAGATGCAGCAAAAATCGCCAAGATGTTAGAAGAGTCTGATGAGGAAGAAGACGAGAATTTCAAATTATATCTATCTGACGATGACCCATTCGGGGATAATGTAGACTCAACACCATTTACTCAGGAAGAAATAGATGAATCACCAATACAGGTAATAGAGACCGCATTAATTCATGACTTACCTAAAATCGATAAAATACAAACACATAATCAAAAACAGTAAAAGAAAAAAACAAGCAAACAAAGATGATCAAAACCTTTAAGAAAAGCGTCGACGATTTATTAAATAAGGACGACCAAAACAAAAAGACTGACGAAGAAAACGAAAGTGACAAGGGAAAAAAATCTAAATCTATAATTGATAATCAGCTAATAAAAACCAACATTATCGAATCTTGCGAATTATTATTTTTATGAAAAGACAACGTCACATATTTTGTTGACACTACAGGGAGACCTTTAGATTCTGGCTCACGAAAACTCTTCGAACGAAACGAACTACCTAAACTTAATGATCTATCCCTAAATAAAGCTCAAGCCATAAAACATAAGAATTATTACCATATTGTCATGCTTATTAGTGAAGGGCAAAGAGAAGGCCCTACAATGACACTGAACCAAATGACGAAAGCCTTAAAAAACCTTCGGAGGCTCATGCTTGATGGAATCTCTCCTGCCTAGGAGCCTGCCTGGAATCTATCCGCACTAGGAGGATTTATTTATATATTTGGAGGGTGTCACCGCTGCAGTCCGACCTGTATCCATCGAGAGATTAGGATCATCATCTCTCTGGAGTACTGGTCGTGGGAATTCGAGAGATATATATATATGTATATATGTATATTGTGATATATGTATATATATATATGTATCATTGTATTGTTGACGTGTTATTCTAAACACGTTATTTGCGATAAATATCATGCCTCGGTAGTCGAAAGGATAAGATGCTTGCCCGGTAAGCAGAAGATCCAAGTTCGATTCCTGGCTGAGGTGATATTTTTTCGCAAAATAATTACGAGTTTTCACGACTGGTTTGTGGTCGGGCCCCGCCGTGACGCACACCCTCCCTTCTTATTTGATAAAATAATTGATGAGCTGCAACTAGAAACAATTAGTAGTGCAAAGACAGACTTTGTAAATAACATACTTTAAAGCGATATTAAAACGCAAATACAATTAATCTTATTTGATTCACCTACTAAATTGATCATTTGTAATGGTCTAATAAAATATCCTCCCAAGGATCTCCATCCGTTATAATCGGAGAAATGAATTGTTCTTCAACCAGAGGATATCGCGGAGTCACTAAAACTTATCACCGAATAAAACATAGTTATTATTGGGAAAATTTAAAACCCGAGGTTCAACGATACATTCAGCAATGTTTACAATGTCAACTGAAAAAATTAGTTAGAGTAAAAACTAAGCAACTTATGATGCTTATCGATACTCCTGGAGCTGCCTTTGACAAAGTAACAATGGATATCGTGGGTTCTCTGTCCAAAACCGAATCAGGAAATGAATATATACTAACATTACAAGATCAACTAACTAAATTCAGCATGGGAATTCCCCTGCCGAATCAAATATCTGAAACGATAGCAGAAGCTTTAGTTAAGAATTCATTTGTACATTTGGAGCACCCAAAGCAAAATTAACCGATCAAGGAAGGAATTTCGTTAGCGATTTGAGAAAAATTGCAAAACTTTTCAGAATTCGTAAATTTTGTACAACCGCCTTTCATCCTCAATCTAATGGATCGCTAGAGAGATCGCATCACGCACTAGGAGAATATCTTAAACAATACGCAAGCGAGCAAAAACATTGGGATCGATGGGACGGTTTAGCAATGTTCAATTATAACACCAGCGTGCATGAAGCGACAAAACATATTTCGTACGAATTAGTATTTGGCAAAATTGCAAGAATACCTTCAGATAAATTTTTAGCACCAGAAGACAAATTGACCAGCTATAACGACTATTTAATAAACTTAGTCATTCAACTCCACAGAATTCAAGGAAATGCACGCGAAAACATCATCGATGCAAAACATAAATCTAAAAAACGTTATGACAAAAGAATCCTCAAATCTTTAAGCTTGGAGATTATGTATTCTTATTAAAAGGACCGAAACCTAAATTAAATTCGGAGATCAATACACCGGACCTCACGAAGTTTTAGAGATATTAAATAAAAACAATGTAAAAATTAAAATAAAGAAAAATAGTCGAATCGTACATCCCAACCGCTTACGAATTTCTCTC